ATATTATGCATTATTCTATCCAGCCAGCAGATGTAGCATTAGTCTTCCTTTCACAGGTTTTTCAGTATCTCTATTCATCCTCTTTATAGCAGTGTTTCATTCCCATCAGATGGTTTCTTTTGAGGCTTCAGTGAGAGACAATGGGGAGCTCTATAGTGCTCTGGGAATCCTTTATTATGAAGTATTTGTAATAACTGTAAAAAAAGTAAAATTAAAAAAAAATATATATATATATATATATTTATTTGTTTAAGGACCCTCCTACTCAGCTGGGGGGGGGGGGGGTACAATTTCAATTCTCAGTGAGGAGAGCTGAGTAGTGTGATAGCCAGATGGGTCCAATTTAGGTCAGGAGCTGAGAGGCTCTGCAGACTAGCTCTCTGAGAGATCCTCCTGCACTAGAATTTTGGAAAAAGATCTAAAAGTAGTGGGTGGAGGTAAGGTGTGGCTAGTCTGTCCTGGCCAATCCCCAACAGGAGGCTTAGCAAGGGGCCAGGAAAGCACTTAAGAGTGTTTGAGCCTGCTCAGCAGGGGAAGAGAGAGGTCAGGTGGAAGATGAGGAAGTGTGGCTGGAGAGCAGGAGCCTGGGAGGGGGCCCAGATGAAGAGCGGCTCACCTACAGACAGAGGAGCTTAGAAGGAGGAAAGCTCAGGACTTCACCGCCCCTCCCAGAGCAAGGACCACCTGTTCAGCAGGGAAGAAGCAATGCAGCTAGAAGATCTGGTAGTAGCAACCGACCCACCAGTAACACAAGATAAGAACTGAGTGAGTAAACCTGCACCTCTTGGGCCAGCAAGGGGAAAGAGGAAATCTGATGGGAAACTGGATTAGCTTTTTACCCAGGATTGCTCACACTGCACTGGCAAGTGCTGGATTCCCTACCCAGGGATTTACCCAGTACAGCTGGATGAGGAGAGGATTCATCTTGAGTCTGGGGTGGTACTACAGGAGATGCTGGCTGTCGCAAATGTGCTCAACAGAGACTGACGCAGACTCCATCTTGCTAAGGGTATCCATTTCTCCCTCATCCTTCTCCTTCTCCCTCCCTTCCTGAGAGGCACAGTGACAGATGTGTGTGTCGTTAAAAGTGTCACAGGCCAGATCCCAGCAGGGAGCCATGCGGTGCCGCACTGTCCAAAGAACCTGTGTAATTTCATGTCTCGTAAAAACATAACGGAGCCTTCCCAGGAGTTCAAGGCATTCCCAAGAAGCCCACACCAGATAACCTTTTTAAGAAATCAATTTATTCAACCTATGTCTCATATCTTGGAATATGAGAGACCGACATAAAAGCCAGACACCTCGTCAGATGGCCAATGAGCAGACGAACAGTTTGATGGGTCACTCATTTATCTCGGGCTATCAGGGAAGCTGGAACCTAGAACTCGCAAACTGTGCAACATATTATTTCATAATTCATATCTAAATAATCCTCAGGTTTATCTGCATAATAAAATAGCGGCGGGTGGACTGTAGCTTGTGCAGATGGAATGTTATGGAACAGAATATGAATTATGAAGGATGTTGGCCCCAGTTTAGGGTCCCGCCTGACGACGCCTCCCTGCACAATTGATTGGTTTGTTACTTCAGAACCACCCCCTGCCGGGAAACTTTAAAACCGGCTGTCAGGACTAAGAGAGGAGAATTGAAGACATCTCCCATTTTTCCATCGTAACAGCGGGAGATCAAAGCACCATTCTGCTCTAAAAAACTTGGATCTGCTTACATCAAAGGCTTACTGGCAAGTAACTTAACCCTTTAACTTCTCTCTGGTATCTCTTTGCTGTACTATGCTGTTTCCTGTATATGTATATATATATATATATATATCTTAGTTACATCTTCTCTGTAAATACTTTTATTGCACCTGTTTGACCCTTTTAGTAATAAATCTCTCTTTCTGAAAGTGTTGAACTGTTTCTACAGCTCTTAATTGCAATTTACGAATCCCTGCCTTTAAGGAGACGCTACGGTTTGTGTTAACTCTCTGTATAACCGGCCTGTGTCAATGACTGGCTGATGCGGACGATTATTTCAATTATTATAGTGGTATAGCGATATTGCGAGTTTCCTCTTTCTCTGAACAAAAAGGAGGTGGTGGCAGTATTAAAGGTTAATTGCATAATTAACCTGACCCAGTAACAATTGCTCAGGCTGACAGCACATCGATCTGTTGTCCATTAGCTGGAAAATAGTTGTGCAGGGTGCAGCTGGGTGTGGCATTGTTACGCACGTCACATAGTGGTTTTAGATTGGCCAGTCCTTCAGTCACGAGTTTGGTGAGAAGGTCTGGGGTCTGAGGCAGCGATCGTGACACTGGCTAGCTCTCCAAAAGAGAATTTTTGCTGTAGGAGTTTCCTCCTTAGGCATCCCATACACCCCTTACCCCATCCAAGTTCAGTGCCTGGCTGTGTTGAACTATAGGGGGACCCAAAGTCAGCGATTCCTAAGGGGGGGGGGTAATGCTACAATATGTATACACACTTTGAGGGTTATTTACTATAACTGGACAGTGCAAAATCTAGTACAACCCTACACAGAAATCAATCAGCTTCCTGGTTTTATTGTCAAAGCCTAATTGAACAAACTGGAGTCAGAAGCTGATTGGCTACCATGCACAGCTGCACCAGAAAATTCTGTGTGCACCAGTTTTAGTAAATCAACCCCAGTATGTTTTATACTACGGAGCCAGGGTGCTGGGGGAGCCAAAACCGGAAGTGACGCGGTTGCCGCGGCCCCACTGTACATACTAATGCCTGTGGATTATCTATATATGTGAGTGCATTTTTATTTTATTAAACGCATTTTATCCTACATACTACACTATGGGGATACCATTTCTTTATATGTGAGCATACCGTAGGAAGGGGAACACATCTTTTAAAGGGCCAGTCACCCGAAATAAGTTTACCAGTGAGTGACCTTTGAATGGAGAACTACATTTGAGTGGAATCTAGAAGGAGGAGAGGAGATGATGAAAGGACCCCCATTAAAGGTAAGAGGACATGTCAAAAAGTGGAGGTAAGGGCAATATTTGAACGGTGTTGGATACACGGTGTGGTTGTTCACAACTACTTAGGAGGCGGTGCATGTTTATCATGGAAGAGAATAAATTGGCACATTTCATAAGAGAAGATATACAGTATATTAAGCACAATATACGGACTACAGACATTATATGTTATTCGGTCTCTGTTTTAAAGAAAACATTTGCTGAATTGTTTAAAATCAGGTTATTGTTTATTTGATGATGAGTTTTGGTGCACGGATCACGTGATCACAGGGAGGCGCAGCATTTATATTTTTTGGTATATTACAATTACTGTGGGAACACTTTTCTGTGTGCAGCCACTCCCAGTATAAGACCTAATATTATTTACAGCTTATTATACAGTGGTGTATTTAACCACATATTTTACTTATAGCTGGTGCAGGATACACATATTTTTCACATTTAAGGATCGGTAAACTGTAAAATATTACATTTTTGTTTTTGGGTTTAATACCACTTTAAGATTTTGTCAGCCATCAACACTGCAGAGACCTCAGATAATGGAGTGAATAAACATTGAATTTAAATTATATTCTGGACTCTGTCCATGCTTCTACATCTTAATATGCTCCAGAGGTGTAACCAGACTCCAGAGACTCCAAACTAGGAATGCGGGTTGGATGAAGCTGTTGTCTAGCCATGAGTGGGTTCTAATAGATTATACTAGTGAGTTGTATTTGAGTCAGGGCTGTCTTAGAGAGAAATTGATAAGATAGATATATAAGAGTTTCCATTACTGACTTATTTCTAAAGCTCCAAGTTCCATATCCATGTCTTTGTGTCACTATTTAGTGGGTCATGACTAGGAGCAAGTGCATGGTCAATGAAACTGAGGCTCTGGGCCTGCACAATAGTCCCTTTCTCATTACTAATTAACTGGTCTTTGGTTAGAATCCCAACCACGGCACTACCTGCCTGGAGTTTGCATGTTCTCCCTGTGCCTGCTTGGGTTTCCTCCGGGTACTCCAGGTTCCTCCCACACTCCAAAGACATGCTGGTAGGTTGATTGGCTCCTGTCTAAATTGTCCCTAGTATGAGTATTTATGAACGTGAGTTAGGGACCTTAGATTATAATCTCCTTGAGGATTAGGGACTGATGTGTACCTGTGCTAAAGTAGCTGTAATTAAAAAAAATAAAATAAAGAGAGGACAGGGATTGAAGCCCCCAACTTGTCTCTTTTAGAACAAGTTGTCAATGGCATCTACCACATTTCTATCCTACAAATTCCCTTTAAAACCAAGGCAATTGAGGCAGACGTAGATTTAAACCTAAGACCCAAAGGCAACAAGGCCCCAAACATATTTTGTCACTACTCATTTGCTGTTAATGTTGCCAAGGGCTTTAGGGTCACTTGCCATAGTAATGGCAGGAATTGTCAATTTCCTTGCAGAATGACTGAATTCAGACACTGATCTGTAGGGCTGATTTAGTTAACCTCCCTAGTGGTCTGATTATGTCCATATTTCTGTGCTCAAAGTGGTACATTTTTTTTTGCATTTTTATTGTAAGCCTGTAATTTTTAGGAATAACTCACTGAAATCTGTCTGAACAAGAGTCTAGTAAACATCCCGGGTATGTTAAAATTTTAAACCACGAAATCATAAATTATAATTTAATAAATAATCATAAAAAATAATATAATAATAAATTTAATTCAATAATATAATCAAACCAAAAAACACTGAAATTTGAAATATAGCGTCAAGTTCGCACATCACTGAGCAAAGTCGCAAAATCGTTTTCAGTGTCTGATGACGAATTTCCCCACAAATCATTATCACTCAATTCTGCAAGTGGTTCTAATTTACTATCGCTGTTCTCTAGCTGGTCTAAAACCGCTTTTGACCTAAAGGGATGCTTTTTGGACGCCATGGACGTTTCTCAGTTTCCAGGCAGAAAGAACAGTAAAAATGAAGGCAGGGCACAGGACAAAGCACTCGGGACAAAATATATGTGAAATGCTTTGATACAGTAATGTTTTACTATGTGATTTTAGCGTATTTAGTAAATGTCACTTTTTGTAATTTTCAAATTTCCCACCAGTCCGTCCCCGTACGTTCCAACGTCGCAGGGCACGGAACCCAGAAGACAGATGCCGGCATCTGCCGGAGGACATTGCAGGGGACACTGCAGGAGGGACATCGCTGGAGCGCAGGACAAGGTAAGAGAAGAACAGATCCTAGAGCAACACCGCATGGTAAGCCCGAGTGTAGCTCGGGGTTACAGCTTGTGGTACTGAAACTTTACCCCGAGCTACACTTGGGAATACCGCCAGGGAAGCTACTATTAATATGGACAGAAATATCTTTAATTACCAGTTTTACTGGCCAACTTTGACCATGCTAATTGTAAATGTAATAAGAAAAAAAATCTTGAACTTAAAGATGCAGGCTGCCATTGCTGACCACTCTCTGAAAATGCTAGATGTCTGGCTGTTATATTAAACTGCCAGCTTACAATGCCTCAAATTATGAGGAAAGTTGAATAGCTTTACAACCAGGCAACTAACATTTTCAGAAATAATGTCAGTAATGGCAGCCTTCATGTTTTCTTCTAATAGATTTTATTATGGTCCTGTTAGGCAGCTCACCTTTTTAGAGATGACCCTTTGACTTCTGATGCAATGCAAAATTGCTTCCAATGAAACCAGTGACTGGTAATAATCTCAGCAACTTCATAGCTCTTTTAAAGCCCTATCAAAAGGCCCTGCTGTTTTCTGATCTTCTTGCATATTTCTTGTCTCTTCAGTGCTCTGTGTTGGCAGAGCTAAGTAACAGCCACACCTCTTAGCACAAGCTTCTCTTTCACAGACTTGCATTGCACAGAAGCAGAAGAGGCGTACCAGAGCAGGTCTGTTACCAAGTGCTGGTCACTGAGAGCACTGGATCTAGTTCTTGGACTGCACAGTCAGAGGTTATTAGTAAAAAATCTTGCTGCCTGCATATCTACTTTTGTGGCTTCAGTTAGGTTATAAGTGATAAAATTTGTATTCATAGCTAAGAGCTCTATGTCACACCACCTTAGACCAATTAAATAAGCACAGATGTACCTGGATGTTCACATAAGCGAAAATTCAGGAAATTTTATTGGGTGTAAAAATGCTTATATATATACCGTAACTCAATGTCTATTTCATATTAAGCTAGATGTTAAATACAATATCTCAGTGCCATAAATAACAGGTCTAAAAGACTCCACTTCTACAGTGTATGATGGTTCTTTAATCTCACAATTAATTGTTCATATGAATGTATTTAAATATATTTGAATAGATTGAATCGAGTGTTGTAAGAACAGCACAGTGACAGCTCACATTTAATGTAATTACCATCCATTTGTCTGTGGTGGTTGGGGTTAATTAATATAGATGTTCAGTTATTACTGGAAAGAGATATTGATAGTGATATCTGTAATAGGTGAGCTCAGGGGAATATATTGTATTTTTTAGGATGCTGAGATACAAATCATTTAATGTATTATAGTTTTATATATCATATATATTAATTTGTGTATTATAGTTTTATATATTTTCATATATATTAATTACAAACGAGCAAACCCATGTGCCAGGTTAGACAAGGCTCCTGAATCTTGGAAATTTACTGCTGGATTGTGTTTTTCTTTTTTTAAGCTTTTCTCTTTTTTCTTTTGCTTAAGCTCATAGAAATGTGATTTGGTATGAATTGATATTGAATACACATCCCTAATTATAAATAGGAAAGTGGGATTTTTTGTGGCTCCAAATTCTCAGGAGTAAATTCACAACTTGAAATATTAGATAAAGAAATATTAAATTTTATTGTGTGCAAAATGTTAAAACCATATTAAAAACATAAAAAAATGTATTATGAACACATTTCTGACTATTGTCTTATTAATATCATTTTAAAATTTTGTACACAATAAAATATAATTTTTACTATCTAATAATTCGAGTTGTGAATTCATTCCTGAGAACTGCATACTGCATTGCAAGAAATCCCACTTTCTTTTCTTACTTGAATTGTGTCCACCTTTTCCATTTGCTGCTTTTAATAAAACAGAGTCCTTCTAACCCAACCCTTTAAATACATAACCTTTTCAATAAGATGCAGGGTCTGTGTAATGCCACTTCCTCAACCTACTGACTCCTATCCTTCCCGCGCGCTGCTACTTCCTGTGTTGAAGCATGAGCAAAGTTGCAGTGTCTCTATGAAGCAGATGTATAAACAATTGTTACATTAACAGCTTTTCCGCTGCCCCATAGTAGAAGTACTGCTACAGGGCGGCAGGGCTGAGCAAAATCACATATATACGTGATTCACATTTCCGGGTAGGGAGCGCATGCATGCACATGCCGCTCTACCCTCACCACCATTGGCAGCTAGGAATATCAATCACCGGGTCCTGGCTGGAGATTCCCCGCAAACGGGAGAGACCGGTGTGTAAACAACATTGGGCTCTCTCTTGCCAGCAAGTACATGTTGCTGTGTATTTTTCTGCACAGCAGAGAAAAAACACAGCAGCATGTCTCCCTAGTAAAACACACACAGCACATAATGTCATTTTATTTTATTAGCACTGATCACTGTATTAGTGTTATTGGGATGTCAGTGGCAGTTAGTCAGTTCACACCTCCAGTATCAGAATGCTTGAGCATTCCCACTATAAGTCACTGATTGCCGCCGTTACTAGTATAAAAAAAATAAACATTTCTGGATATATACCCCCATTTGTAAACCCTATAACGTTCGCATAAACCACTTAATTTACAGTGGAGATCGAAAGTTTGGGCACCCCATCTAAAAATTTGTATTAATGTGCATAAAGAAGCCAAGGAAAGATGGAAAAATCTCCAAAAGGCATCAAATTACAGATTAGACATTCTTATAATATGTCAACAAAAGTTAGATTTTATTTCCATCATTTACACTTTCAAAATAACAGAAAACAAAAAAATGGCGTCTGCAAAAGTTTGGGCACCCTGCAGAGTTAATATCTTGTACTGCCCCCTTTGGCAAGTATCACAGCTTGTAAACGCTTTTTGTAGCCAGCCAAGAGTCTTTCAATTCTTGTTTGAGGTATCTTTGCCCATTCTTCCTTACAAAAAGTCTTCCAGTTCTTTGAGATTTCTGGGCTGTCTGTCACGCACTGCTCTTTTAAGGTCTATCCATAGATTTTCAATGATGTTGAGGTCAGGAGATTGTGAAGGCCATGGCAAAACCTTCAATTTACGCCTCTTGATGTAATCCCCCGTGGATTTTGAGGTGTGTTTAGGATTAGAGATGAGCGAATCGAACCTGGCGAAGTGGAATTCGTTTCGAATTTCAGGAAAAATTCGATTCGCATCGAATCCGAATTTTAGCAAACTTCGGGTGCACGAATCGAATTTTTCCCGATCAGCCGGCAAAAGTGTCACTGCAGAGAGCTCCGCTATTTCTGACAGTTCTGACAGTTCATTTACAGCGGTTGAAACATTGTATCTATTTGTTTCCATTTAGGATACAGATGTTTTTATTCGGAAATAAATAGATACAATGTTTCAACCGCTGTAAATGTGAAGGAACTGTCAGAGAACTGTCAGAAATAGCGGAGCTCTCTGCAGATACACTTTTTGCTGTACTGGAATACTTCTTCTTTTCATTCTTCTTCTTCTTTTCATTCTTCTTCTTCTTCTTCTTCTTTTCATTCTTCTTTTCATTCTTCTTCTTCTTCTTTTCATTCTTCTTCTTCTTCTTTTCATTCTTCTTTTCATTCTTCTTCTTCTTCTTCTTTTCATTTCTTCTTCTTCTTTTTCATTCTTCTTCTTCTTCTTTTCATTCTTCTTTTTATTCTTCTTCTTCTTCTTTTCATTCTTCTTTTCATTCTTCTTTCTTCTTCTTTTCATTCTTCTTCTTCTTTTCATTCTTCTTCTTCTTCTTTTCATTCTTCTTCTTCTTTTCATTCTTTTTCTTCTTTTCATTCTTCTTCTTCTTCTTTTCATTCTTCTTTTCATTCTTTCTTCTTCTTTTCATTCTTCTTTTCATTCTTCTTCTTCTTCTTTTCATTCTTCTTCTTCTTCTTCTTTTCATTCTTCTTCTTCTTCTTTCATTCTTCTTCTTCTTTTCATTCTTCTTTTCATTCTTCTTCTTCTTCTTTTCATTCTTCTCTTCTTCTTCTTCTTCTTTTTTCTTCTTCTTCTTCTTTTCTTCTTTTCATTCTTCTTCTTTTCATTTCTTCTTCTTTTCTTTTCATTCTTCTTTTCATTTCTTCTTCTTCATTCAATTCTTCTTCATTCTTCTTCTTTTCTTCTTCTTTTTCATTCTTTCTTTTCATTCTTCTTCTTTTCATTCTTCTTCTTCTTCTTTTCTTCTTCTTCAAAAAAAATTCATTCTTCTTTTCATTTCTTTCTTCTTTTCATTCTTCTTCTTTTCATTCTTCTTCTTCTTCTTTTCATTCTTCTTCTTCTTCTTTTCATTCTTCTTTTCATTCTTCTTCATTCTTCTTCATTCTTTTCTTCTTCTTCTTTTCATTCTTCTTTTTCATTCTTCTTCTTCTTCTTTTCATTCTTCTTTTCATTTCTTCTTTTCATTCTTTTCATTTTTCTTTTCATTTCTTTTCATTCTTCTTCTTCTTCTTTTCTTCATCTCCTTCTTTTCATTCTTCTTCTTCTTCTTTTCATTCTTCTTTTCTTTTTTCATTCTTCTTTTCATTCTTCTTCTTCATTTTTTCATTCTTCTTCTTCTTCTTTTCATTCTTCTTTTTCTTTTCATTCTTCTTTTCATTCTTCTTCTTCTTCTTTTCATTCTTCTTCTTCTTCTTCTTTTCATTCTTCTTTTCATTCTTCTTCTTTTCATTCTTCTTCTTCTTCTTTTCATTCTTCTTCTTTTCATCCTTCTTCTTTTCTTTTCATTCTTTCATTCTTCTTTTCCTTCTTCTCATTCTTCTTTTCATTCTTCTTTTCATTCTTCTTCTTCTTCTTTTCATTCTTCTTCTTCTTTTCATTCTTCTTTTCATTCTTCTCATTCTTCTCATTCTTCTTTCATTCTTCTTTCAACTCTTCTTTTCATTCTTCTTCATTCTTCTTCTTTTCATTCTTCTTCTTCTTCTTTTCTTCTTTTCATTCTTCTTTTCTTCATTCATTCTTCTTCTTCTCTTTTCATTCTTCTTCTTCTACTTTTCTTCTTCTTTTCATTCTTCTTCTTCTTCTTTTTCATTCTTCTTCTTCTTCTTTTCATTCTTCTTTTCATTCTTCTTCTTCTTCTTTTCATTCTTCTTCTTCTTCTTCTTCTTTTCATTCTTCTTTTCATTCTTCTTCTTCTTCT